CCTGGGTGAGGGGCTGATGGCTGTTTGCAGGCTGGCCACGGCCCCCAGCCACCCAAGCTCCCAGTGGAGGCTGGCTGGAAGCAGGTATCTGGGATTTATTTATCTTCTATAATTGAAACTTTGTTGCCTTTAGCGGAGGCCACAGCCGGCCAGGGCAGGCGGGAAACTTGGCTTCCTCCATCGTCGGGGCAACCAAAGCCTCCTGCTTGCTCCAGATCCGTGGCTGCCGGCTGCCATCTTGGTTGGGTTCATTTGCATACAGTCACTCTGATTGGCTGCTGGGCGTGGCTTGGGGCGTAGCGAAGGTACGGTCAATTTGCGTGTTTCTCTTTTATTAGATTAGATAGATATACACATGTATACATATACACATGTGTACGTATATATTATAAAATATTCCATATAACTTCCTATCAAATTTCTTTTTACTTTTAATCAAATCATACTAAAGTCACATCACAAACAGAAATGTACAGTTTGAATTAGCCCACTGCCATAGTAATTTTTAATACAAAAATAAAACTGATATCTACTATTTAAGTTGAGGAAAAACAAGAACATTTTAATTTCCCTTATTTCGAAAGATTTTTTAAAAATAGAAGCCATCCATATAGATCTCATACAATTTTAAGTTTCCATGAAAAACTTGACAATCTTTTCAAGTTTATTTAATACCAAAAAATCCAGTATTTGTTACTGTTAAATTTTATATATCACAAATTAAAATAGGTAAAATGAATATACAAAACATTGATTTGTTATTTTTCCCCCCACCAAAATGGGTGTTGCATTCTGTTTCTTTTTTCACATAAATGGACTAATAAGTCCACACAGTTAACATTTATCTTAAAAATAAGCCATGTTAATTTAACAAAGGGTGGAAGGCCATTTAAGCCATTAATGAGGTTTCCTTAAAAAAAAAAAAAAAGAAAAGAAAAAAGAAAAACCCTAGTTCATAAGTAATAAAAAAATGAATGGTCTTGAGTAACTTATGATCTCTAAAAACCTATTTACCTAACCTGGAACTAAAAGAGTTCATAGAGACCTAGGAACTTAAGTGTTTGTTTTATTTTGTTTTTTAAGACCTTTGTAGTTGGATACAATGCCACAAAACCCAAAGACTTTATTCAAGAGAGATCTCTTCAGGCCTTATTCTACAGTTTCTTTCCTTTATACCCAATCTTAGAAACTTTTGTTATTTGCTATTGAGGCCCACAGCAAGATTAACAAAAACAAGAGAAAGAGGTAGAGGACCTCATGCTGAAAGCAAAAGGAGATGTTATCTGACAAACCAGAGGAATTTGGTTCTTGAGTCAAAAGTTCTACAAATCTCAATGAATAAAGGCATCACCACTATAGTATAGAACAGAATACCTTCCAGAGATTGTTTTCTGTTGTAATCCCTAAATCATAAAGAAATTTTTAAACAGCCCTAGTGGTTTGGCTCAGTGGATAGAGCATCAACCTGAGGACTGAGGGGTCCCAGGTTTGATTCCAGTCAAGGGCACATGCCCAGGTAGCGGGCTTGATCCCCAGTAGGGGGGGGGCGTGCACGAGGCAGCTGATCAATGATTCTCTCATCATTGATGTCTATCTCTCTCCCCATTTCCCTTTCTCTCTGAAATCAATAAAGATATATATTAAAAAAAAAAAAAAAGAATATGAAATGTCAGTGAATAAGGGAAAGAAGTGTTTGAGGAAGATTTCTATCTAAAATGGTTATGGGGGGAAATGGGAGACATCTATAATACTATCAACAATAAAAAAGTACATATATTAAAAAATTAAATAAAATAAAATGGTTATAAAAATTTACACAAAATAGAAACTAAGATATTCAGGAAAAATTACCTCCTATAAAAATGAAGGACTTTTATCATTAATAAACAGAAATCCAATTTCTTATTTATCAGTTGGAATTTTCATGAATGTATTTAATGGAAGACCAGTACTAATAATCTAGGCCAGCGGTCGCCAACCGGTGGTCCACGGACCACTGGTGGTCCACGAGGTCCAAAAGGTTGGTGACTGCTAGTCTAGGCAGAGATGACTGAATAAGGACTAGCATTGCAATTCTTTCCCAAGTCTTGCTGTTGTTGTCTTGTATTGATTCCGCAAGGCACCCTAGAATTCTTCTAAAACCATGTTAGCATTGTTAGTTTCAGAAACTTATAAATAAAAATATCTTAACTAATACAAAATGATGGGGTTCAGAATTTGAAGCCAGAGTAGAGGTGAGAAACTTTCTATGATCATCTAATTACAATGGCAGCCTTGGGCCACAGAGACTACCAAAAGATTTAATCTCACATCAACTGATGACAACTGCCTGAGGTGCTGTATTGAAAAGGATTCTGAGGCTGTTTGGTATGAATGCTGTCTTCAACTTGCCTATCCACCCTGGGAGTGGGTTGGGTTGAGTTGTGGCACCATGGGCCATGTACTTGCCTCAGTTCTATTTTAGAGAATATGGAAGAGGTTTCATTACAAGTGGTCAACTTTCAGCAATAAAAGCAGAACTGGTCATCAGCAAGCTCTAGTTACCTACCAAAAGTCCTCAACTAATGAGATTGTTTTCTTCCTCCCTATTCCTTCTATACATATACATGAAAATTAAAAAGATAATCTGACATAATGTGGGAAGATGAAAGGTTAATTAAGGAAGGTGGAAACTATGAGGAACATTTAAAACATGAGAAACAGAATGAAAGAGTTAGGAGACTTCTAGTTGTTTTGTTTTTAATTAAGAATTTACTAGCATAAAAGAATGTAACATACTATATTCTACACCATAGGTACTAGAGTCACAAAAAGCAAAATAGCTAATAAGGAAACTACAAAAAGAACAAAAATTAGGTAATGTACCTGGTTCCTAAATTTCTACTTCTTTTACATTAAGAGTCTGTTGGAATGAAATTGAGTTCCAAAATAAAATGGGGTTTGACCTATTTTTCAGAACAGTAACATTAGTTTTTTTCCACCTCAAGCTACGAACTAAATATAATTTCAAAGACTATTTAGGGGAAGCTGAAGAAAAGATAAACACCAATAAACACATACTAGACAAGTCTATGGCTCAGTGCACTTCAAGAGCTCAGTGGTCCTCTGGCCCATTACCTACCTACTGCACCCTCTGGAGAGATGCTGCTGTAAGGAGGAGGAGCGTCACATGCAACCTGTTCCAGCTGTACAGGCTCTTCCACATTCTGCAACTAAACAAAAAGTTCACATTTTAATTCAAGTATAAAGCCAGTAAGAGAGAGAAGAACCTGAAAACTGGAATAGCCTTTCTGTAAAGCTAGTTGGCAATTTGTTTCAAAGGTCTTAAATTGTGCAAATCCTTTACAAAGTATTCTACTCCCAGGAATTTATCCTAAGGAAATAATCAGACAGAGGCAAAAAGGTATATAAACAGGGTAGGGCAAAAGTAGGTTTACAGTTGTGAGTATGCAAAACACAAGAGTTTATTCTTGTATCATTATTTATTGTCTTATTTTCCATACAAACAACTATAAACCTACTTCTGCCCAACACTGTAAATGTCATTGGAGCAAAAATTAGAAACAACCTAAATTCCAATCATGGGAAACTTATTAAATAAATTACAGTTCATCTCACAAAAGTCTACTAAGCAGCTATAAAAATGAAAATAAAGAAAATTTGATGGCTCAAACAGATATTCACTCTAAATACTATTACATAAAAAAAAAAAAAAAACAACTAGCCCTGGCCGGTTTGGCTCAGTGGATAGAGCGTCGGCCTGCGGACTCAAGGGTCCCGGGTTCGATTCCGGTCAGGGGCATGTGCCTTGATTGCAGGCACCTCCCCAGTGCGGGGTGTGCAGGAGGCAGCTGATCGATGTTTCTCATCGATGTTTCTAACTCTCTGTACTCTCCCTTCCTCTCTGTAAACAATCAATAAAATATATTTTTAAAAAAACAAAAAACTAAATTTACCAAACAAACAGTATGCATCATACAATTTGGTATTGGAAGATATTTAATAGAAAGGAGGTCTAGAATGATAGACATCTACAGCTTACACTGTTTATCTCCAAGTGATGTGATCACAGGAATATTTTTTATACATACATCTAACTTTGTGTAATGAACATTTATCACTTGTGTAATTTTCTAAGTGACAAAAATAATCTAATAATAATAATCTGTTAAGACAAAGACAAATCACACAAACCAAGGTTTACCATTATATTCAGTTCGGGCATGGAAATTAGATCTTAAATTAAAACATAAAATTCTACCCAATTATACATATAACCTCTGTCAATTCATCTAAGCAACTTCCTCGTTAGTCAAATCTACAGCTGCAGTTACTTTAACTCACACTGAAAGTGTGTCTTCCTGCTATTGCCATATGGCTAGTCTATCCAATTCATCTTCATTGAACAAAGACATTTGTTTTAATTTTTCCAGTGTGACAATAGACTACAGCTCATTTAAAAGATAAACTGGCTGAGAATGGGAATCAATCTGTAAAGTAATAACAGAGTACTCACTGGGGGTTCTGCGTCCGGGCTGTATATCATCATAATACATACTGCCAACTAAGCCACTCGTAAAATAGCCTCTAAACCAACTGCTACAAAGAACTGTATCTTGAATTGAGAGAGAAAAACAGAGAGTCTGACCTGTCATAACATTTAGTAGAGCTCCCTAATTCATTAAATTTTAACTAACCATCTCAGTCTCTAATCCCTATACTATTCAAAATCAAAAGCCAACAAAACTTTTCTGATTAATTCTACAAAGCATTCAATTTCAAATGAATTCCTGTATCAAATTTCCATCAACATCTACCATCTGATCACATTTTTTAAACCCCTGTAATCTAATGGTAAACTTAGAGCATTCCCAAAGTAATTATATTGTAACCTAAGATGAATTTTCCTTTTAGAGGAAGACATATGGGCAAAATAGCTATAGTAATGCCAATATTTCTAGGACACCAAATCAGTAAATTCTTTAAATAGAGTTCCTGGGGCCATGGTTCACTTGTTATACTATCCCCGCCTCCCCTCACAGTGAGGAAGGGAGAGGGAGAAAGATAGAAACATCGATGATGAGAGAGAAGCACTGATCCGCTGCCTCCTGCACTCTCCCTAACTGGGGATCAAGCCTGCAACCCAGGCATGTGCTCTGACCGGGACTCTAATCATGATCACAGAGCCACAGGCCGGGCTCACTTGGAATACTTTTAACATTATCTGAAGCTCTACCAGGGTATTCTCAGCCTACTCCTAACCACACTTTGTGTCCTCAGAATGTTGCAAAAAGAAGCAAGAGTCTTGCCCTATTCAGTTTGGCTCAGTGGATAGAGCATTGGCCTTCGGACTGAAGGGTCCTGGGTTCAATTCCGGTCACAGGCACATGCTGGGGTTGTGAGCTTGATCCCCCCCCATGCAGGAAGCAGCCCATCGGTGGTTCCCTCTCATCATTAATGTTTCTATCTCTCTCCCCCTTTCCCTTCCTCTCTGAAATCAATAAAAGTATTATTTTTTAAAAATCAAGAGTCTGCTGCAAAAACAGAGGCAAACATGGACTTTTCAAGAATATTGCCTTAATATACTGTAGCTAGTAATGCTTTTTAAACCTAGTAATGTTCTTTAAACATAGCTTGGTATCTTTGATTGTTTTATACTTCCTGAGCTTGGTCAAATAATCATGTTGCCTCTGCATAATTTAGGTTTTAGAAAGGAAGCATGGCAATTCTAAGAAATTACAGAGGTCCAAAGAATAAAGAGGTCTAATACGCCAGTATCTATAAGATAGGTTGCCTGTTTCCTAGCAACCTGGAAATGAGAAATTTGATCATCCCACACCAGAGTAACAGATAACAGAGCAAAGAAATTCCAACCGTCACAGAAACCCCCATTTTCTCTTTGGTGAGCAAAAAAGAAACATTTATAGGTGACTTTTTTGCTCCATTAAGATTCACCACTTCAGAATCATATACTAATATTATTTCCAACTGAAAACAACAAAAAACACCCACTGTGACTACAGAGGCTCCCCATATTGGAGAGATCCAGGACTTAACTGTACCGACATGTTTTCGGTAATGCTGGTGATACATTTAGGCTCTGTCAAGAAATGTGTTTAAAATAAAATACTACAGTGTGGGAGGAAAAGAGACAACCACCTTCAACAAGTATTTAGTGACCACCATCTGGGGGAATAGTAACTTGCTAAACAACTGAATCCCTAAGTACACATCTTTTTAGACTTTGGGGGCATCTACAGCCATGAATTTACTCTGCCAGCTAAACAAGTCAGGCACACTAACGGGGCGGGGGCACATGTGCACTAGAACTAGAGTGGGACTTACCTCTAAGCCTTAGAGGTTCTCAACCTGTGGATTGCGACCATCGGAAAACACATATAGCATATCAGATATTTACATTACGATTCATAACAGTAGCAAAATTACAGTTATGAAGTAGCAATGAAAATAATTTTATGGTTGGGGGTCATCACAACATGAGGAACTGTATTAAAGGGTCGCGGCACATTAAGAAGGTTGAGAACCACTAAGGCTATAAAATTGGTTATTTGGTTCCAAAGTGTATTTTTAAGGTTCCCCTTTTCTGTCCCTGAGAACCCTTCCTTGTAGTCCTCCCTGCAACATCCCTAGAGCTCAGGGATCTTCAGGCTCTCCCCTGAGCCTCTCTCAGAAAATAAGCGTCATTGTCACTGTGGGGCTGGTGTTGGAAAGATACCCCGTCTCTTCTATCAACTGGGTCAGTGGAAGCCTGAGTACAACCTACTGTCACAGAATCCTGGTTTGTAGGAGATACTGCGAGAGGCAGGTTTGAAAAGTGGTGGGACCTTCTGCTCTCTCCCTGCTCTGTGTTACGGTTTGTAGGAGATACTGCGAGAGGCAGGTTTGAAAAGCTCTGTGTTATTGGGTGGGGGAGATCCTTATATTATGTAACGGTGAAAGATAATAACTACATGTTAAGGTTTGGATTCTTTTACGTCATATATTTTTTAAACAATTTTGATCAATTTTACTTATCTCTAAATAAGTAAAAATGGCTTTTTTCCCCCAAAAAGAGTTATACAAGTAACTAGATGCCATATAAAGCACTAAGCTTAGTACAAAACTACCTATAATTACCTATATCTCCATTGCTGAGATAGGAATAATCCAATGATCGTACAATTCAGATGGGCTTTCTCTTTGCCACACCCTAGACTGTGCCTCACTCCCACTTTCCTGATGCCCCTCTTTACTCTGAGCAGACTCTGTCATGGCTCCCCAGAAGAACCCTAAAACTTGTCCATGTTCCCACCTGAGATTTATCACAATCTGCTATTGTCTCTTGGCCTTGATCACCCTCAATTTCTTGTTTAATATTTACCTACAAATAGGTGGTAATAATGTTTTGCCCTTTAGATTTTGCCTATGAAATATATATAGCACATCTAAAATAATCAATGTTTTCCTCCTTACTACATTCCTCTGTATCCTACCTATACTGTTGCTATTAGAAATAAATATATGATGTTTTAGCTACACAACAGTTTAAAGAATCTCCTGTATAGAAATCATTCACAGCTCTAGTTACTAATAGAAGCAAACTTGAATTTAACAAGTTTAAAGACTCACAACCTACAGATTTAAATTCTTATTTGAGTTTCCACCCCAGCAAGAAGACTTCCTCACTACCCTCCCCTAAGTAGTTCTAAAGATAATCTTCAATTTAGAAATGAGCTATTTTTAGGCAATAGCAGAGCCAGGGCTAGGATTAGGCCTAAATAAGGAGCAAAATTTACTACTGTACCAGTGGCAGTACCTAAAGGCACTTAAAAGTCTTTAAATTAGATTCTCTCTATTCACTAAGAATGGGATGACAAAAAAACCCTACAAAACAACAAAGAGAAAAACAAAAAAGACATATACATAAATCCTTATACACAAGAAGTAGTATCAAAATATAGCACATACTAGTAATTCACATGAACACAAAAACCATGCGTAAAATAATGCTGAACTATCCAAAAATGCCGTGAAGTACAAGTATTTGCATACCGCTCACTTTTTTCTTGGTTGAGTCTTATTTAAACAGCAAGAAAATTATAAGATTTTTTTAAGTTGTCTTTTTATTTTAATTTATTGAGGTGACATTGGTTAATAAAACCATATAGGTTTCAAGTATACAAAATTCTCCTAAGTTTTAAATCCCTTCTTT